AAAATTGTTGCAATTACAAATGTTTAGGCATTCTCATGTTTATTTATTTTGTTTGTATTAGTATGACACAAGAAAGTGAATAAACAAAAAGCCAAATCTGACATATTCCACACAAAACTCCAAAAATGGATTGGGCAAAATTATTGGCACGTTCTCAAAATTGTAAGAAATAATTGCATTCCAAGTTTATTATTGTAATTAAACTCACCTGTATCAATTAACTCCGGCAGCCAGTTAAAATGATGAAAAATTGACTCAACGTTTGTTGTGCGTCTCTGTGTGCCACATGGAGCATGGAGAAGAGAAAGAGCAACAAAGAATTATCTGAGAATTTGAGAACAAAAATTGTGGAAAAGCATGAACAATCTCAAGGTTTCAAGTCCTTCTCCAAAGATCATAATGTTCCTGTGTCCACTGTGCGCAACATTGTCAAGAAGTTTACAGCCCATGGCATGTAGCTGATCTCCCTGGATGTGGATGAAAGAGAAAACTTGATCAAAGAATTGTTCAAATGGTGGATAAAGAATCTTGATCAAGTTCCAGACAAATTCAAGCTGACCTTCAGGCACAGGGTACAACTGTGTTAGCGCGCCCTATATGTTGCCATCTGAATGAAAAGCTGGCCATACATGTTAAATCCTGTTTGAGCACAGACCTCATACATGCTTTATTTTTACCACAATTGTGTAATCTCAGGACCTACCTAAACAATGCATTCAATCAGTATTTAGTCAGGTAGGCCCTTGCACAGTAAAGTTATTGGCAGATGTAAAGGATATTGTACTGATTGTAAAATACAGTATATGGTTAAGTCTAAGATTCACTGCTATGTGGTAGACTCCCAGTGCTAAAAACAAACGTATATCACTGAACAAATCATAATAGCTCCTTCTCAGTGAAACTTACTTATGATCCTTTATTACCCTTACAGACACTATGCCTAAATATTTTTAATGCTCCATTTTATAAAAAATTAACATACATTATATTGCCAATAGTTGGGACACCCCTCCAAATCATTGGATTCAGGTGTTCCAATCACCTCCATGGCCACAGGTGTATAAAATCGAGTACCTAGGCATGTAGACTGCTTCTACAAACATTTGTGAAAGAATGACAGTCAAGTGTGAACGAGCCCTTAGTTCCAGTGAAAGGAACTCTGAAGGCGTCAGCATACCCAGACAGTTTGGACAATTTCATGCTCCCAACTTTGTGGGAACAGTTTGGGGATGGCCCCTTCCTGTTCCAACATGACTGCGCACCAGTGCACAAAGCAAGGTCCAAAACAACACGGATGAGCGAGTTTGGGGTGGAGGAACTTGAGTAGTCTGGTCCTGACCTTAACCCAATAGAAAACCTTTGGGATGAACTAATGCAGAGACTGTGAGCCAGGCCTTCTTGACAGATATCAGTGCCTGACCTCACAAATTCGCTTCTGGAAAAATGGTCAAACATTGCCATAGACACACTCCTAAACCTTGTGGACTGTCTTCCCAGAAGAGTTGAAGCTTTTATAGCTGCAAAGGGTGGTTCAACTCAATATTGAACCCTATAAACCAAGACTGGGATTCCATTAAAGTTCATCTGCGTATAAAGGCAGGCGTCCCAATACTTTTGGCAATATAGTGTACATTTAAAAAAAATACTCAATATACTTTGAAAATATAAATTAGTTAGAAAGATGCAGTATATAATCAAAAATAATACAATGGCTTGTACTTTCACAGGGAAAGGTTGAAATATTGACAAATCTGAGGTCTACAAACATAGACTGTACATTTTTTTTTATTACTTTCCTATTTGGATATTGTGGAATCATGTTGGGTCTTACCTTTTTGGTTTGTGGCAGGGGCACAACTAATGTAGGCCCTCCAGGAATTTCCTCTGTCCTGCAAGGCCAATCTAGCTATGATATTTTGCTACTATTGATGCTGAGCCCCTGTAAAAATTTAAATTATTTTTGTTTTGATTTGTTTTTTCTCCCCATTGGGTTACCTGAGCATGTGTAAACAAACTCTCATACCTGAAGAGTGTAAGGACAGTATTGGTCATTCCACATCCTCCCTATACACAGTTTTCCACCATACCATTTTAGGTTGACTGATTCCCTTTCTCTGTGTTTTTCTCTTGGAATGTTTACTTGGAGATGGAGGAGATCAAGAGCTTGGTACGTGAAGCATCCACAAGAGTCAATGGGAAGGGTTGGGGAGGCTATGTATAAACACTCTGCATAGTCTCGAAATGGTGCAACTAATGCATTTTTGTTTTACTGACAATTTAAATAACCAAACATCTTATTATGAATATGATTTAGTCATGTCTTTTTAATAGAATTGGAATAGTGTCCCTGGCAGTGTCCGAACAAATCCCATCGCATAGTTATAATTGGCAGGCCATTATGTCATTTTTAGAATTTGTTCATTGAGTGCTATCTGGCAACTACTGTAAAAAAAAAAAAAAACCAATTGAAGTCACAGAAATAGATATGCAGTCAGATAGACATTGTACTAACAATCTCTATTTTCATAGTCTTGCCTCCAATTTCCTTTTACAGCAGCTACGCGGGTTGTCTAAATTTAATTGTACAGTCCAATAGGCACCATAGCTAGACTAGTGAATTTAGTAATCAGCACGCAGCAACAAACCTAGTCTGACATACTCCTTAATTTTCTCTACACTACGTGTCTGTGTGTCAGGGTTCCAGGTATGACCAGAGGTGTGTGGACTGACACAGGAAATGCAGGCTTCAGGAGTGATGTATAAGAATATAATTTATTAGGAACTACACAAGTATACAATGCACAGTACAAACAAAACCAAACCTCCAACTAATGTCAGTATGTTCAGGAACACAGACAGGCATAGTTAGGCTGGAGAGGTAGAGTGGTCAGGCAGGCCGGGTGTCAGGAATGGACTTGCCAATAATGGTGGGACTCACCTGCCTTGTGGGCTGCAGTACCAGGGCTGGCCAGCGGGTGCTCTCAGCAATCAGAGACTCAACCCTGCAGTCAGCCAAAACACCTGAGGCTGATTGCAGGTGTATTTAAGGGATGGCCAGACCTGCAGTCTGTGCCTTGGTGAGTGTTTTTCCATGGACCCCTGTATCTTGTTACCTGCATTCCTGGTCCTGTTCCTGTTCCTGTCTGACTGATTTGTTGCCGACCCTGCCTGATCCGGACCTCTGCTGACATCTCCTGTTTGATCCCTGGCTTGTGACCCCGACCATTCTCTGCCTGTCCCCCCTGTACCTACCTGCCCGTTAGTTGCTGTACCCGGCTCGTGACCTGACTACTCTCTGCCTGCTCCTCCTGTTCCTACCTGCCCGATTGTTATTGACCCGGCTTGCCTGACTACGCTTGCACTGTATGTATTGTTATCTGTGGGTGGTTTGGTTTGGTTCGTTTGCACTGTGTTATGTTTTAGTATTGCACTGCGTTTTTGTATTGTTAGTATTAATAAATTATATTGTTTATAACATATCTGAAGCCTGCGTTTCCCTGCGTCAGTCAGTTCACATACCTCTGGTCATACCCGGAGCCCTGACATTACACGAAGGCCAATCCTGACCAGAAGTGGCTGCACAGGGAAGCCATCTTGGCTTGTTGCTGGGAAGGATGGATCTCGATGAGGTTGTGTATTTGTCGCTGCTGGTTTTTGAAGACAGAGAATATGTTTATCAGACTCTGAGGGAGTATACCCGGGATCAACTGCTAGAATGTGTACGGATCGCTCATGTTCTAGTAGATCAGGGCACAGAGTTCTCTGAGGTGCAACCTTTGATTCAGGTTTGTGTAGAGTTGGCTTCATTTGGTACCCCTGAAAGCAGGAATGACTTTTTGCCACCATTTAGTGCAGACCAGGTAGAGTCCCTGGTATGGTTATTAGAGGATGATGTGGATTGCTTATTGGAGCATTATGCTGCATGTTCACCACAGGTATTAAGGGATTGTATAAACACAGTGCAATCTTTGACCAGACAGGCTTTGTGTAAGCTCAGCTTTGTTCAACCCATACTGCAAACATGGTCAGACTTGTTGCACCCAGCCTCAGTCAGCTTGCAACGTCATTCCTCCGCTCAAGGCACTCTTCCTACATCCCCGACAGCACCCCCAGTGACGGCCCAGTATACTCTAACTACCACAAACCAGTCCTCTGCTCCCACTCGCTGCACCTATCCTTTAACCCTGTAAAGAAGTCCTCTGTAGCAACTGCTCCCTCCTCTGTTCCATCTTACAGCTCTTCTCTGTCCTCAGCTGCTCCATTCGTTTGCAGACCTGCGTTTACTTGCAGTGCTCCAGTAGTCAAAACCAGAAAAAAGCGAAAATTCTTTCCAACCAGTACCATCCTGCCAGTATCCAAACCGGTGAGCCTGCCGTCTGAGAACCTGCCTTCCGTGGTTCAGCCTGGTGCCTCGGCACCCACACTTCAGCCAGATGTCTCTACCCAGTGAAAAAAGAGGGAGAGAACAATGTTCTTGGACAACTTGCCAGCCAGCTTGCTAACAACCGAATTAACCTGTCTAACAATATGCGTTTATAACAGGGGTTTAGTTAGCACACATTTGCAAATACATACGTAAGCCACAGAGCCACGACACGGCACCCTGATCATCTGTGGTCCTAACTCTAATATTTGTGAGTCCCCATAGTAGAGGCACATGCATTTAATGGATAGATCAAGGGCAGGTGGACCTGAGGGAGCCACCCCTCTTAAAGGCAAAGGAGTGCACTGGACCCCAGCATGTAGCACAATGGCAACCAGGGTCCTAGTGCACCCACGTACCAAAAAATCAAACATGCATAAAAGTGGCCACCCGCCCAAGTCTATAACTGGCTTATGAAGCAAGGACACATAAACAGGCATCACATAGTGGAAAAAAGAGGGAGAGAACAATGTTCTTGGACAACTTGCCAGCCAGCTTGCTAACAACCGAATTAACCTGTCTAACAGTATGCGTTTATAACGGGTTTAGTTAGCACACATTTGCAAATACATACGTAAGCCACAGAGCCACAGATGTCTCTACCCAGCCTGATGTCTGTACCCAGCCTGAGGAACTGATCCAGCCTGATGATCCTATCCTTGCCTGATGACCCAGTGCCCGCTGTCATACCTGGTGACCTGATGCCCGGTGTCGAGCCAGACGATCCAATGCCTGATGACCCAGTGCCCGCTGTCATGCCTGCTGACTTGATGCCCGCTGTCGAGCCAGATGATCCGGTACCTGATGACCCGGTGCCCGCTGTCATACCTGGTGACCCGATGCCCGCTGTCGAGCCAGACGATCCAATTCCTGATGGCCCAGTGCCCGCTGTCATGCCTGGTGACCCGATGCCCGCTGTCGAGCCAGACGATCCAGCGCCAGATGACCCGGTGCCTGCTGTCGAGCCAGACGATCCGGTACCTGATGACCCGGCGCCCGCCTGGGGGCCCGGTGCCCGCCGCTCCGCCTGGGGACCCGGCGCCCGCCGCCCCTCCTGGGGGCCCTGTGCCTTCCGCCCCTCCTGGGGGCCCTGTGCCTGCCGCCCCTCCTGGGGGCCCTGTGCCTGCCGCTCCGCCTAAGCGCCCTGTGCCTGCCGCTCCGCCTGGGGGCCTGGTGCCTGTCGCTCCTCCTGGGGGCCCTGTGCCTGTCGCTCCTCCTGGGGGCCCTGTGCCGCTGCCCGGAGTCCAGCCCGATGTGCCGCTGCCCGGAGTCCAGCCCGATGTGCCGCTGCCTGGAGTCCAGCCCGATGTGCCGCTGCCCGGAGTCCAGCCCGATGTGCCGCTGCCCGGAGTCCAGCCCGATGTGCCAGTCTTTGATATCCCGCCAGTTACCTGACCCGGGCCGTGGAACATTTTGCCCAGCTAGGACTGTTTGGAGCGTCCTGAGGCCGCTCCTTGAGGGGGGGGGGGGTACTGTCAGGAATGGACTTGCCAATAATGGTGGGACTCACCTGCCTTGTGGGCTGCAGTACCAGGGCTGGCCAGTGGGTGCTCTCAGCAATCAGAGACTCAACCCTGCAGTCAGCCAAAACACCTGAGGCTGATTGCAGGTGTATTTAAGGGATGGCCAGACCTCCAGTCTGTGCCTTGGTGAGTGTTTTTCCATGGGCCCCTGTATCTTGTTACCTGCATTCCTGGTCCTGTTCCTGTTCCTGTCTGACTGATTTGTTGCCGACCCTGCCTGATCTGGACCTCTGCTGACTTCTCCTGTTTGATCCCTGGCTTGTGACCCCGACCATTCTCTGCCTGACCCCCCTGTACCTACCTGCCCGTTAGTTGCTGTACCCGGCTCGTGACCTGACTACTCTCTGCCTGCTCCTCCTGTTTCTACCTGCCCGATTGTTATTGACCCGGCTTGCCTGACTACGCTTGCACTGTATGTATTGTTATCTGTGGGTGGTTTGGTTTGGTTCATTTGCACTGTGTTATGTTTTAGTATTGCACTGCGTTTTTGTATTGTTAGTATTAATAAATTATATTGTTTATAACATATCTGAAGCCTGCGTTTCCCTGCGTCAGTTCACATACCTCTGGTCATACCCGGAGCCCTGACACCGGGTCATGAACAATCGGGCAGACAAGGTACAAACGGAGCAGGCAGGAGAAAGGTCAGGAATAGCCGAGGTCAGTGCAGGCGGAGTTCGATCAGTGTCAGAGTCAAGCAGGGGAAACAGGCAGACGACGGGACCAGGTACAGGGGCTCATGGGAAACAAACACCAAGACACTGACTGCAGGCCTGGCCACTGCTTAAATACACCTCCTGCAATCAGCCTCAGGGGATGCCTTGATTGCAGGAGTGAGATTCTGGCTGCTGAGAGCACCTGCTGGCCAGCACTGGTACTGCAGCCCACAAGGCAGGTGAGCCCCAGCACCACCTGTGCTGAGCCCACTCCTAACACTGTGCTAGGACACTAATAAAGTGTATACAGTAATGCATTTGAACACAATTGTTATTTACAGTTAGGTCCATATATATTTGGACACAGGCACAATTTTAGTTTTTTTCCGGTATTTACCAAAACAAATTCCAGGTGTTGGCTACTCCTTCATTATTTCTTCATCAATTATGCAGGTAAAAGGTCTGGAGCTGATTCTAAGTGTGGTGTTTGCATTTGGAATCTATTGTTGTGAACCTACATCATGTGTTCAAAGGAATTGTCCATGCAAGTGAAACAGGCCATTGTGAGGCTTCAAAAACAAAACAAATCCATCAGAGATATAGCAGCAACATTAGGAGTGGCCAAATCAACACATTCTGAGGAAAGAAGAATCCACTAGTGAGCTCAGCAACCTAAAAAGGCATGAGCGTCCACGGAAGTCAAACAGTGGTGGATGATGGCAGGATCCTCTCTATGGTAAAGAAAAACCCATTCACAACATCCAGAGAAGTGAAGTGAAGGTGGCGTATCATTGTCAAAGTCTACAATTAAGAGAAGATTTCACAAGAGCAAATACAGAGGGTTTACCGTAAGGTGCAAACCATTCATAAGCCTGAAGAATAGAAAAGCCAGATTAGACTTTGTCAAAAAACATTTAAAAAAAGCCAGACCAGTTCTGGAAAAGCATTCTTTGGATGGATGAAACGAAGATTAATCTGTACCAGAATGACAGCAAGAAAAAAGTGTGGAGAAGGCTTGTAACTGCTCATGATCCAAAGCACACAACATCATCTGTAAAACATGGTGGAGGCAGTGTGATGGCATGGGCATGCATGGCTTCCAGTGGCACTGGGTCATTGGTGTTTATTGATGATATGACAGAAAACAGAAGCAGCCGGATGAATTCTGCAGAGTTTAGAGATATACTGTCAGCCCAGATTTAGCCAAACGCAGCAAAATTGATTGAATGGCGCTTTCACAGTGCAGATGGACAATGAACCAAAACACACTGCAAAAGCAACCCATGAGCTTTTGAAGGAAAAGCAGTGGAATATTCTGCAATGGCAGATCACCTGATCTCAACCCAATTGAGCATGCATTTCACTTGCTGAAGGCAAAACAAAAGGCAGAAAGACCCACAAACAAAGAACAACTGAAGACAACTGCAGTTAGAGCCTGGCAAAGCATCAGAAAGGAGGAAACCCAGTCTTTGGTAATGTCCGTGGGTTCCAGACTTCAGGCAGTCATAGCCAGTAAAGGATTCTCAACAAAATATTGAAAATTAACTTTTTGTTTATGATTATATTCATTTGTCCAATTACATTTGAACCCCTGAAAATGGAGGGACTGTGTATAAAAATGGTTGCAGCTCCTAAAATTTGTACTTGATATTTATGTTCAACCTCTTGAATTAAAGCTGGAAATCTGCACTTCAAATTCACTTGGATTGTTTCGTTTTAATTTATTCTGGTGGCATACAGAGCCAAAAGTATGAAAATTGTGCCTGTGTCCAAATATGTATGGACCTAACTGTACTTTTGTTTAGATCACAAGAAGACTCGGTTAACATCTTGGTTTTACTCCCAAAGGGGTTGGGTAATATCAAGTTCTCATACAAAATACCATCTTGCTGTGTACTTGGAGGTCACTGATTTTGGCTATTTCAGTCCATTCCTTCCATTCTATTTCAAGAGCATCTCTCGAGCTCTGTAAAAAGTTTGGGAATTTTTCCAGGAAGGCAATAGGCCTGGCTTATGCACTTGGAGCTTTTTAATCTGCAGGTGATGGACAAACCAATGGCAGATGTGGATATTTTTTATATAATCATTGTACAGCGCACCCATCTTTCAGACCTAAAAATAAGACATGGCCTAATTAGATTTGTGAAAACACATTTGTTAAGCATTAATAGCCTGGCTTGCCATCTGTCAAGTGGTTATTCGAACATTGAAATAATGGCAAATTAAGAGACGTTGTGTACACACTGATAACATCCAAAAAATCTTAATATTACAAATGGGGATGTGTTAGGGATCAGTTCTTTTAAAAGAGAGCCAAGTTTATAGACTGTAGAGCTGCCATAAATATTTGTGTTTTAATGCATTCTCAAAAACTTGGATAGGTGACCAGATAAAATATTGTTTTATGAAATGTAGATAAATTATATGTCGTGCCTGGATACATGTTGTAGATATTTAGACAGTGCACATTAGCTTTAAAGATTGTACAGTATATAAAGTGATGTCACAACATAACATTTTGCATACTTTTGCAGAAGACATGGACAACAGAAATATTGAACTATATGGTATTTGAGAGACAAAATTCTACCCATACACAGTAGTTAAATGTCCTATTTTTGTAAGAAATGCTATTCTATTCATGTTAAAAAAAAAAGTAAGTTTGCACCTTTGTGTGCACATATTACATACAACCTCCAATTCAGAAACAGTTGAGGCATTGTTTAAAATCGATATATACACATAATGCAGTAATCCACTGATTGGGGCATGCAAACCATCTGGCTACTGTCCATACTCCCCAGGTGGCCCACATCAGACCTGGAACAGCGTTGTATGGCTTTGGCCCCCGATGCACAAAGTTACAAAGGTCCGACAGGGATAGCAATAAAACAAGTTTACATTCAAACACTGACCAATCTGCAGAGTCCTGCATTTTAAATACATAGGTGGGGAATGGATCACAATACACACCACGTAAGAATTTCTTCATAGGATATGCCCTAACCAAAAAATTCCCTCCAACACTTTTCCATTTGACCTCTTTACAAATCTTCCTCAAGAAAGGGTTCACCAATCTGCAGAAAAATATTTGACATATAAAACGTTATGTTCACTACATGGTACATCTCATTTGTTGACCAACACATTTGCAGATAGGTACCATAGAAGACTCAGCGAATAGTCAAAAATAAATTCCTCAACTCTGGGGCTTCAGATCCATTCATCTGAGACGCTGTTTGCCAAAGGGAGTGTGGATTTTCCCAAGACTGACCCAAAAGGACAGCAACACATGTTATCTATAAGCAGGGCCAGTGCTACCACTAGGCTAACTAGGCAGCTCCCCAGGGCACACTACCACCTAGAGCGCAGCCACAGCCATGACTCACTGACAGCTCTGACATGCCCATTAAAATTAAAATGACTGCGGTGTCTGTCTGGGTAAATCAAAATAGACACACACAATCGGAGAGTTCCCTCCCCCTCTGCCTCCGGGAAGTCAGGTCCTGCTTGTTTGCTGATTGGCCAGTACTGAGTGAGGGGGCATGGTTACCCAAGAGACACCAGCCCACCTTGGGTGATCAGTTGCAGGAGCATGTAGAAAGATAGAGGAGGGTGCAGCTTTGCGGTCTGGACAGTGGACCCATCACAAGGACCACAGAGGCTGGAGTGTGAAGAGTGGTTGCTGCAGAAGTGAAGAGGAGCAGGGACGGACTGTCGCTGAGACACAGAGCCAAGAGGAGAGAGCCCAGCAGGAGGAGAGAGATCCAGAGTGAGTCTAGTGGAGGCCAGAGCCAGCCAGCAGTTGCCCAGAGCAGTCAGTGGAGGCCAGCAGAGTCAACCTGAGCAGGCAAACCGACCCAGCCAGAGCGTTCAGGTAAGTCATTTGCTGACCTGACATGATCACCCACCATGTCATTTCCATCCTGCACACAGTCATCTACCATGTCATCTCCATCCTGTGCACCACATTCTGCACTATGTAAGTCATCTCAGACTCTAACCACACCCCCTTTAAGCCATGCCCAATATTTAGTGTAATTTTATCTTGCTTCTTGTAAAAGATTGCTTCCTCCCAGCTCCCCAGTGAGTTTTTTTTTTTTTTTTTCTGGGGGGGGGGGGGGGGGGGGGGGGGGGGGGGGGGAG